GGAGGGGTTGGTAGAGCACATGTATAAGGAGATATTGTGAGTGGGGTATGGGTGGGTCCCACGAGTGGGTGGGATTGAGACTAAATGTCTAATTTACTCTTAATGAGTGGTCAAATTTATATATTTGACTACAATATGTGCATTTATTTACGACATTACCACACATATTTAATCATTATTTACTAAATTTTGACTTTATCATGATTAATGATACGATGGATCCAATGGTACACAATTGTTCTTCTTTATTTGATTATGCCTCATTCTTATTTGAACCCACTCACACACAAACACACACACACACACATGTGCGCGCACACACACACACACACACACACACACACATATATATATATATATATATATATATATATAGTAATATTATAGGAGTGCACCCAGATGAAAATGATATTTAGTGAAAAAAATGAGAATAAATATGCTCTCATTAAAGTTATAAAAGACACCTCATAAATAAAAAAACACATCAACAATTAAAGTCTCAAATTCAAGATCTCTCAAGAATGCTCTTGAAGATTTGAAGGCGTTCCTGAAGATCCAAGAACATTCAAGTTGAAGATCGGCGTTCAACCCGCAACCATGCATTCGAACCGCCGACGTTTGTTCAGCAAAGAAGAAGGCCAAGAAGAAGAAAAAGATGTGGCGGCTCTTCCCCATGAAGTAAAGAGACGACTTCCACCCCTCTCAAATCAGTCCAAGAATATCAAGACGACTTCCACCACTCTCAAATCAATCCAAAAATATCAATGACGTTCAAACGATATTCAAGTCGCATTCGTCGAAAAGTTCAACCAACATTGCGTCTGATCCGGGAAAAACTATCACTCCTTCGAGTCAACGTTATTAAGCCAAAATCCATATTCTAGGAAGATTGAAGAAGCAAGTCCTCCGAGAAGTCCTCTTCAATCAAGTCAAGGCCTAACATTTAATACGAGAATAAGTCATTCAACTCCCAAATTAATGTTAGAGAAAATCAAGATCAAGCCCGAATGAGATACAACCGTCAAATCCATTTTTTTCAAGATCTGAAGCACAAATTCATGAAGAGAATAATCAGAGGAGACATATAGAGATTGTACTCGCAATATTGCTTGATCGAAATAAAATCAAGTTGTGCAAAAAATTTATCTTTTTCATAAAATTCATTGTTACAAATTTGGCACACTCAGTAGGACTTTGCAATAAAATTCATTGTAACAGCAGGTTATCAGGAGCTTAAGTAATAGGATCGTTTAAGGTGGAAGGTGTGTAACCCGATTGTAACCAATTGTAATGTATCAATGTTTATCATTCATGGCTTTAAAAATTTAATTTTAAACGATATTAAAATATAAGTAAAAAATATTTCAAGGATCAAGTATATTCAGTATCAAAATGGAAAACTAATTGGACATTTGTGGAATTGTCGCGTAAATTACTAGATTATGAAGAATCAGTATATATATAATATATTTGCTTATAAAATAAGATAAACCAATGAGTCATCATCTATTGTACTGTAATATTAAATTATAAATTTAGAAAGAAAAATTAAAATAATTATAATATATATTATTGCAAGCTATAATGACAAATCAATGGATTATCTGGAAAAAAAAAACAATTATGGCTATGAAAGAAAAAAAATATTTACAATGTATATAGTTATAAATTATAATGATAAATAACAAGATATTTATCGAAAGTCATATTATTTATAATGTATATTGTCATTAATTATAATGATATCTTAACCGGTGTCGAACTAGCATGGAAGTTATTTTAATTAATTGGTGAAATAAGTATATAAATCATATATTAAATGTTTACATATCATAAATATAAAATAAAAGATAAAAAAAATAATATTAGTAAACTAATTAGTATTCCTTCATTGTTTTAATGTATAAAATTTATCATTATTTGAGTTGAGTCGAGCCGAGCTCAAGTGCAAGGTGTTCGAGTAAATGAGCCGAAATCGAGCTTGAGCTCGGATTGCTTATTAATTTAACGAGTCGAATTTGAACTTTAACGAGCCGATCTCGAGCTTTAACGAGCTGAACTATAGAAAATTATATAAAAGTTCTCTTTTTGAGCCTTATAGAGCCGAGCCAGACTCGTTATGAAACGAGCTTTGAGCAAACTCGAGCTCGACTCATTTGTAAAATGAGTCGAGCTGAAAATGAGTCGAGCTGAACTCGGGCCATAATGTTAACTTATCAGTGATAACTTAAGTAGAGCTGATAAACAAAACGAGTCGCTCGTGACCTCAGATAGGCTCGACTCTCAAACTTATACTCCCTCCTATTTTTTTTTTAAATGTCATTATAGCTTTATCAATTATTTGTCAAATAAATGTCGTTTTAGATCTTTTGTACATATTTTTCCATTATTACTCTCATTTAGCTAATAAATACATTACGTCTTTTCATATTCACTCTTCATTTTTTCTCAAGACATTCATCTCTATCTTCATTAAATAAGGTTATTATTGAAAAAAAAATTATTCTTAATTAATGTGCAAATTCTCCAAACGACATATATTAAAGATAGGAGGGGATATTACATATATAATCCTCCCTATATATAATTCCCGAATGCGCTGAGCCTACGTGGCTGTTTCTGGTGCTTCGGAATCCTACTTGGCGAAGAATCATGCTTCGTAATTAGGTTTGGACAAATAATATTGATATATTAATAATTAAAATCTAGGTTCGGACATTCCATAAATATTATTGAGCTAATTTAGGTATTTTAATATCACTTGTACTAATATAACCCTTTAATTCCTTCTAATATTAACTAAGTGACTAATATATCCCCAACTTTTGATTTGTTTCTTTCATTTAGCTATTGAATTGTAAATGTATTTTAAAAGTTGATAAATTTTGTATTTCTTATCAGTTTTATATATATAACATATCAAATTAATCATCTTTTGATGATCTTCGATTTGATATCCATATTGTATATATTGAAATAAATAAATTATATTTATATTTATAATAATAAAAGATAATTATATTTATTAAAATTTATTAGAAAAATAAAATTATTTCTCAATTGATATATTTATGATTAATGTGTTATATGTTGTAAGTTAAAAAATTATTATAATATAAAACAAGTAAGTCGCGCAAAATAAAAAGTGTCATATTAAATATATAATAATATATATATATATTTTTATAAAATGTATTTAAATTTTTAACTATTTTTTTTCATTAATTTTAGATTTTAAGAAAGAAATTAGCAAGCACCCGTGTAATACACGAGAGTTGTACTAGTAAATTATAAATTTGACTTTAAAAAGGGTAGTGGAACACATTCCAAACTACATTTATTGAAATAGAAAAAACTTTGCAACAAATACAATCATATCTAAACCCTAATGATGAGCAACCCGAACGTGAAGACACAGGAGCAAAGCTGCGACCAGCTCATTATAATTATTCCTCAATAATCTATTCAGTGGCATTAGCTGTTATTATTCCAACTCTCAAGTCCTTTTCCACACACCGCCAGCTCACACTGCACTTGCACACTTCACCACCTCCCCACCCCACCATGTGAATATAATCTCATCCCCCCAACGTTACAAAACAAAACAAAACAAAAATCCTCAACTAACCACACCTAAAATCCCCATCTACACTCCGGCAATGCAGCCTCGCCGCACAGCCGCCGCCGTGGCGGTTCTACTGTTCTCTACTCTCCTCCTCCTCCCCTCCGCCGCCGATGCCCATAATATCACCCGCATCCTGGCCCAGCACCCCGAGTTCTCCACCTTCAACCACTACCTGACCGAGACGCACCTGGCGCCGGAGATCAACCAGCGGGAGACCATCACCGTCTGCGCGGTGGACAACGCCGCAATGTCGGATCTGCTCGCCAAGCACCTCACCATCGGCGCCATCCGCAACGTCCTCTCCATCCACGTCCTTCTCGACTACTTCGACGGGAAGAAGCTCCACCAGATCACTGACGGCACCGCCCTCGCCGCCACCATGTTCCAGGCAACCGGATCCGCCCCGGGCTCCACCGGCTTCGTCAACATCACGGATCTGAAGGGCGGTCGGGTCGGGTTCGCCCCGCAGGACGGCCCCGTCGCCGCAACCTTCGTCAAGTCCGTCGAGGCCATCCCCTACAACATCTCCGTCATCCAGATCTCCTCCATCCTACCCTCCCCGGAGGCCGAGGCGCCGGCGCCGGCGCCGAGCCAGGCGAACATTACTGCCATCATGTCGGCGCACGGCTGCAAGGTTTTTGCCGAGACGCTGCTAGCCAATCCGGACGCCGAGCAGACGTTCCAGAGCAACGTCGAAAGCGGACTCACGATATTCTGCGCCGGGGACGAGGCTATGAAGAGCTTCACCCCCAGATTCAGAAACCTAACCGCGGCCGGAAAGCAATCGCTGCTGGAATACCACGGGATCCCGGTCTACCAGTCACTGGCCGGCCTGAAATCGAGCAATGGCCTGACCAATACGCTGGCCACCGATGGCGCCAGCAAGTTCGACTTCACGGTGCAGAACGACGGCACCGACGTGACAATCCGGACGGGAATCGTGACGGCCAAGATCAGGCACACGCTGATTGACGACCAG